GAAGTTATACGAAGTAAGCCCGAATAAAATAAATGATTCTAAATTTAGAATTTCCATTTCGGGTTTATAATCCTTATTAATTTTGAAGTATTTTGTTCACAATAAACCTGTTGTTTAACACTGATGTAAATAATTTAGCGAAACTCTCCCCAAATTAGCCCGACATATATATACAGTAGAACTACGGTAAGTCGAAGTTGGAGGGACTTGCGTAAAAACTTCGACACATCGGGACTTCGACTCATGAATCGGTCTGAATTTCATGACAAAATTTCAACCCGTGACTAGCCTTTTTTATAAGATCTATTACGTAACCTACTTCATGTTTTCTTTCATTCATTAATCTGATACTTTACATTATACAATGATAAATATGACATGTTAAGTAATTTTTCACGGCTAATGATTTGGACTCCCTGTTGACGCATACAATGAAGTTACAAAAGGCGTAACAATACGAAAGGGCAATAACTTAACCAGTTTGTAGTAAATATTTCGCGTGTGATTATCACGCGACACCGGGTCACGGAAGTACTCAAATGATAGTTCTTACTGTTTACATATAGATCTACTTTCAAATACCGCTACGGCAATTAAAATAGAAATGATTAAAGCATTTTTTCACACTTTTACACGCATACAAAGGCTGTTTGAACATGCGGCTGTGTTATTAACACCTGTCACTAAAGTTGATCGGAAATCGTCTTCGCGGCAAGAAAAGGTGTGAAAATGTCTCGAGATCAAAGGTGTCAAAATAACTGAAGAACTTCGACTTATTTGTGGTAAATTGTACTAGATTTATTCTATACAGACCGCGGAAAAAACTTCGACACATCGAAAAACTCGACACATAAAATCTCGACTCATAGATAGGTTTTTTTAAGGAATATATAAGGGAAAAATCCGGGACTTTCGTTTTACTTCGACACATCGAGAAAATCGACTAATCGAAGTTAGACTCTTAGAAGTTCTACTGTATATATATTCCACTATTTAACAGTCATATTTATTTGTGTAAAACGCTCTGAAGTTTTCGGTAATTGACATCGCTAAAAATAGCATTTTGTTTACATGGATTCAATAATCGGGTGTAGAAATTGATTATCGATCGTCGTCTGCCCTAAATTCGTCCGTGTCCTAGAGTCAACATAACATCCTTACTTTATTTTTCAGAGAGTCTAATACCAAATGTTCATTTAGGCAATAGGGGGCGTTTAATTACGATCACAAAATCCGAAGCTTAACGAAAACGCCAAGCAATTTTTAGCTCAACCTTTTTAAAAAAAAAGTAGAGGTATTGTTATAGTCCTGGCGGCGTTGCCGTTGCCGTCCACAAACATGTATGTGGATCATAACGTTTTTAGTTCTTGGTGTCTTGTCTTTATACTTGGCCACAACAACCCTTGGGACAAGACCTTTAAGTAGATTACACTAACCTTGACCTTCATCCATAAATGACCTTTACATTTAAGGTCAAAAGTCCAAATTTTGCTTGTTCTTGCTATTATTGGCTGTAACTATGTTATTTTTGAATGGATTGTCTTCAAATTTGAACATAATAATCTTCAAGGATAGCCCTTTAAAAAACCAGACAGATCTTGACCTTCATTCATAAATGACCTTGACTTTGATGGTCAAATTATTGAATTTTTTCTTCTAGTGGGTGTCTTCCAGGTTTGTTAAAATATAAGCTCTGGGATAAAAATTGGCCCTGTCACAATTAGGTCATTGTTTTCCCCTTTATGTGTATATAGTAAAAACATAAAAAATCTTTTAAAAACCCCAAATAGATAGAGCTTAAATATTTAGCAAGAAACATCTTCTTATGGGTAAAACCAAGTTTGGTCAAATAAAAGTCCTTGGATATTTTTTTTTAAGTTTGCCTTATATGTGTATAGTAATATAGTAACTTAAAAACTCGTATAAAAAGTTTTTTCCTTATATGTGTATATTAATTTGAACTTAAAGACTCTTATTAAAAGGGTTAAACCCAAAGAGCTAGAGTTTAGATACTAAGCATGAAACATCTTCTTGTGAGTGTCTTCCAAGTTTGTTCAAATAAAAGCCTTGGGATCAAAATTGGCCCCTTTGAGGGAAGGGGGGGTACTTTTTTCTATAGATATGTCTATAGTATAAACTTAGAAAATCTTCATATAAAATCCCCAAAGAGCTAGAGCTTAGATATTTATCATGAAACATCTTCTAATGGGTGTCTACCAAGTTTGTTCAAATAAAAGCCCCTGGTTTTAAATTGGCCTTGGCCCAGGGGCCTATATATAGGTGAGTGATTTCAGGGCCATCATGGCCCTCTTGTTTTAACCTTGCCCAGATATTTACGATCAAGATGCGGTCTCAAGATTGCAGCTAAATGGCAATCATACAACAAAATCTATTTTTGGACAATTTTTTGAGTTTACAACCCCTTTTCTTGAACAAACCTAAAATGTTCCTAAATGCTTTGAATGTTTAGCTTTCTTTTTGTCCCAACAATTTAATGTTTTACACCAATTTTTAGCTCGACGTTTTTTTTTTTGAATGATGAATCTCGGATCAAAAGACAGTTCAAAGTATAATGATAATTGATTTAGATCTATCGGATTTTTATTTTACCAAATGATTTTCAAATTGAAAATTAAATTGTTTCGTATACAAATGTATATAATTATTTCATTTTTCGCACAAAGACATAAGTTTTTTCTGAAGCGAAATACAGCTACCATACAGTAGTTTCCTTTTAGTAGCCACGTTATTGTCTTAGACCTGTCCTTTTGACAGGGCACCTATTTCCGTTATGTTTCGAGTTGATTTTCGTCATTTCCACAGGTACTTGAAACAAACTATTAGTAATGTTCCATATGGGCTATATACTATAGTAATTTCTAGACTTTTTGATAATTAGTGAAAGTATCAATTCTAAAATGTGTATTTATTATCGATCAACAAAGAAAATCAATGATACGTCGATATCACTTCTATCGATGACAGATCTACCTGCAATATTTCACAGTGATCAACAGTGATGATATACCGCAGCGCAAATTTCACCCGATTACTTGATAACAGAAAATCAAAAATGTAGCAGGGATGTTGCCGTGACAATCCACCGTAAAATATCAAGTGCACGACTTTGTAAAGTTAGCAATCTATATCTATACAGTTATGGAAAGAGAAACTATAAATGAAATTATTATGAAGAGTTGCTTCTCTTATTTCTTTTATTTCTGTAAATCATGCTATAATTCGAAGAAAAAAACAGGAATATGTTCGAGAGAGCCAACCTATCCACGTTTCTACCTAATATCCTCAACTTCCCTATCCTTGAGGGAAACCGTCACTTTAATATCACCAGCTCAACCACGCCTTTTATCAACCTTTCACTGACAAGATTTACGAGAAATTTGTTAGTCAAGTGTAAGATCAAAAATATTATTCATCGTACACTCAGAAGTTATATGACTGCTGGCATCCACGATCAATGAACTTTTGGTGTTAACGAGGGAAATATTCAATCTACTCTGAATCAAACAAATTCTATTTTTATATTATATGTTAGAAAACTTTAATAAACATTTAGCCTAATACTAAAGAAAAGACGTGCCAATTGATAATATAAACGTACTCATTTCACGCACTTCCATTAATTAGTAATTCTATAACACCACCTAAAGCATGTATGAAATGATGTATCTATTATATTAATTAGATCGAACGTAAAGAAATTTGATGATTTGCTGCTAATGTGCTCAAATTAATATCTAACTACTCTGTTATATGACATTCTAACAAACAATCTCAGATGAGCATATCTGCTAATTGGCCCTCTAGGATTGTACATGCCTTTTTTGTTAGTAAAGATTCATTCCCTTACAGGGACCAGCTGTAAGGCATACAGTTTGTGATCATTCATAGTTTTCATTCATAGTCATATGGATTTTCTTTTATTCTTACAAATTGTTTTAATTCTTGTTCTTTCAGAAATCAAATGCCACAAATGAGATACATTAAAAAACAAAATACCGCAGATTAGGCTCTAGCTTTTATTAAGAAGACTGCCATTTTTGATACATAGGAACAATCAGCACACATATTATTACCAAATACAACAAACATACCTCAACCAAACGTACCATGTGCTCTTAGATAAAAACGCTCCACCAGATCAGTCCCTTATCAAAGGATATTCCCTCAGCAACATAATGTACTTTGTTTTCAAAAATAAGAACCCTGTCCAACAACGTATTCTCCTCTATACAGCATTATCAAGATCATGCATCAATGCCACCAGCACCTTTTGGAAAAAACGAGTATGTCCAACTGCAGTCACAGACCGTGGGACGTTTGCAATTTTATCAATGTCACGTTACAAGTACAATACATCAGTACTCAACACTAAGCCTGCGTTCATATACAAAATAACAAATACTCATAGCTCTACATTGGATGCTAATGTTATCGGACAAACTTTTTCAAGGTAATAGATTGTACTATATTATTATGATATATTAAATTTAGAAATTAACGCGCACGCCTCCTTTCATGCTTATTTTCATAAATTCTTGATAATGTATTTAATGTACAATATTAGAAATCAACTAAAAAAATTCATTAACATTCAATGCACTAAACAAGTAATTACAAAAAATTGGTCAATAAATGCATAAGTACCTTACTCCATTGTACCCAGTTAGAAATTCTGGAAATACTTGACAATCTCCATTTATTCATACAGTAATAATATTACTGTCTTGAATCTTAACTTTTTCAAATATATTATTTTTCTTCCAGTTTATTTTTATTGAAAATTTACTCATTCGAGCATGTCAGCTCTTATACTTTACTGAATATTTAAATATTAGTCTGTTATTGAACTATTAAATAAACGTATTTTCACAATGCACTTAAACACTTATTCTCAATTACAGGAATTGTGGTAGTCTTATTTGCGACACTGTATTTATATGCATGTGTATTATTGGTTTCGTATATCAGGCATCTATCGAAACAAGATTTTTCATTCTAGCAATATGGAATTAGAGGAGAGCAAGGCTAATTGTTTTATTGATGATATGATAGCTGTCCTGCAAGATGGTAAGGTACTTTTACATCGACAAGATGCACAACAAGCTGTCAGGAAACTTCAAGATGTAAGTGACCATAATTAGTTATAAGTTTGAAATCATAATCTAAAATAAGCACATTATACTAAATCACATAGAAAAAAGTGCTCGAAGTGGTTAATTTATACCACCACTACAAAATGTGTGTGTGTGTGGGTGGGGGGGGGCTATAATGGATTCCCTTTGTCGCCTTGGTCGGTCCATCTGTCCGTCTCCATTATTGTGTCCGCTCTATATATCCTATACCAATTGAAGGATTTCTTCAAACTTAGCTCAAAAGTTCAGCTCAACAAAGGGTTGTGCAAAACCCATGTTGCCCATGTGTCAGCTCAAGGTCAAGGTCACAATTGAAGGTCAAATATCAAACAATCAAATATTACACAGTGTGTCGTGTCCACTATAGTTCTACACTAATTGAAAGATTTTCTTCAATCTTGGCTCAAATGTTCACCTCAACAAGGTAATGTGCAGAACCCATTTTACCCTTTGCCGGCTTAAGGTCAAGGTCACACTTGGAAGGTCAAAAATTTACTTAGAAAATATTCTTATATTTTAACATGTACTTGAATATTTCTTAAACTAGAAAAGGTATTTGCTTGAAAATTGAAATGTATATAAAGTGTCACAATTTAGATATGCAGGTCAAGTTTCATAACTCTGTAATGTATTTTGATGTATCCGCTCTATAAACTCGATACTAATGGAAGGATTTTCTTCAAACTTGACTCAAATGTTCACCCCAACTGGGCAATGTGCAGAACCTATCTTACCCTTATGCCAGCTTAAGGTCAAGGCCACACTGACGGTTAAAAGTTGACTTAGAAAATTTTCTGAAATTTTAATGTACTTGAATATTTCTAAAACTAATTAGAACAGATAATCATTGAAATTGTCAAATATGTACGAAGTGTCGCAAGTAAGATATGCAGGTCAAGTTTCAGAACTAAAAAAGTGTGGGGTTGGGATAACTTTGTATTGTATTTTGACAAAGTTAAGTCATTTTTATGTCTTTAGATTTATTAGTCCCCTACCAGTTTAACAGGAGGGGACTTTAGGTTTACCCTCTGTCCGTCTGTCTGTCTGTCAGTCTGTCTGTCCAAAAAAAACTGGATCCCGTGATAACGCAAAGAGTACTGAAAATATTTTTATAAAACTTGATATATGGATAGATGGCAGTATGGAGATTATGCAGGTTTTTTCTTTTCTTCCTATATTGAAAATTCTGGTTGCTATGGCAACAAATAGACTGAATTTCAAAATTTCTGATTTGAATTTTTATGCTTTTTCACTGTAAGTTCTTTATTTTTTAAGGTGTTTACTTCAAACTTTAAATATAAGTTTCTGGTCATCAATCACATCATATGTGACAAGGTTTACATATCTGGCACAAAAATTATCAGAATTACCTCCCTGAACTTAGAATTTTTATGATAAAAAATGTTGTCTTTTTTAAATTACTTCTTTATTTCTTTGTGTATCTACTTCAAACTTCATATATATGTTTCTTATTATCACTCTACATTTGTGAGAAGGTTAAATACTCTAGCAAGACTATTTGTAGAATTATACCCCCCTTGAACTTAGATTTTTTTTCGAGAAATTGGTATTTTTTACTCCAACTTCTTCATTCCTTATAGGATTTACTTTAAAATCCCACATCAAAATAATATGACAAGGTTTATAAATCTAGATCCATATTTTCAGAATTATCTCCTCCTTAAACTTTGAATTTTTCTTATTCATTCTTTTACTTTCTTATTTCTTCATGGACTTTCTTCTTTGTTACTTACTATACATTATAGTTAATGCTATATTTGAAACTTGTTATTTTCTTACTTATCTTCTTTGTGACAAGAAATGGTATCTTTAAACTTAAAGTAAAACTCACATCAATGTTCATAAAACTGGCATCGTTATTTCAAGAGTTATCTCCTCTTTAATTTTTTTTTATCAAAATATGTTATATTTTGGTAACAGGGATGTTTAAAAAAGTAACTTAAGAGTCTCCTTCAGTCTGTCTGTCTGTCTGTCTGTTCATAAAAACTGTTTCATGAGATCACTTTTAAAGATTTTTTCCAACAAATTTACTTAAAATAGAGAAAAGTTGAAACATTATTTATTCTTATTCATCCTGAGAAAATTGGACCTTTTGATTATCTGTTGTATAATTATAAGGCAGGGGAAACTTAACACATTACTGTGATATAGACAAACTTAGAACTCAAAGGTTTAAGTTCATTCATGTCATTCATTCAGTGGTAAAATTGAATGGCCAATGGCCGATCAGAATGTTGCTGGGGTTCTAACCGGTAGGGGACTTATGGGTTGCTTGCAATACTATGATAATTGCTTGTTTACTATAATATTTTTTAAACCAGAACAGATATTTACTTGAAACTTAAATTTGATATGAATGGTAACAAGTGAGCTCACGGAAATTCTTCCATTCCATTGAATTATGACACAAGTTATGCCCCTTTTTTGGCTTAGAAAATGTTCTGATATAACTATTAATACTTAAATGTTTCTGAAACTAGAACAGATATTCACTCAAACTTAATCATATATGAAGGGTCACATGCAAAGTTTTTCCACTCTTAATTACATTTTGACATAATTATGCAATTTTCTTAACTTCACTGCTTTTGTTTGGAAAAATGGAAGGTTATTTGTAACTGTTTTGAACATGATTTGACAATATATATTAAATTTTATACAATTACCTGTACAATTTGTCTTTTTTCTCCAGAGATAATTTCTTTATGTATATATATATTTGTGCCACTAAAGTTATTCTCTTAAAGGGACTCCATTGAGGTTTTTTGTCATGACGAGACTGGAATTTTTTTTTTTAGATTAATGCTCAGTTTGATGTAGGTCTAGATCAGTTCTTAACTTGTGTGCAAAATTTTAGATCATTTGCTCTCTTGGTTTATCCAAGATAATTATTCAAGTAGCGAAAAATGACCCAAAATTAAAAAGCGTTTAAACGCTTTTCACTCGAATCATATCAAAAATGTCACAAAAATATGCTTTTCAATTCATTTCTGAGTAAATTTCTTAATTATTTTTTCATGTCTTCCTGTGTTACGTGCCCCAGCTGATCTGTGTAAAAATAAATTTTATGATTTTAGGCTTTTGATCCTCAGTGGAGTTCCTTTAACCTCCTTTCCAAGTCATCTCCTGTCAAGAACATTGGTGGTGGTATGAATCGCATTCAGCAATAGTTCTAGTTCATTTTAGTCAAATTTAAATTACAACTGCCTTAAGTTAACATATCTTGATGAAATCAAATATAATTTATAAATACCTTCGAAATGTAAATATCAAAAATACAGATCTAAGCTTGTTAGTAATAGGTAAGAAAAAAAAATGTGAAGAAAATAGATAAATCTGGCAATCAAATGACTATACCACACATCCTGCCTTAAAAGAAGATTTTAGAAGCCCTCAGAAAAAGTATTAGAGTTAAAATAAAAAAAAACAATTGAGATAATTTTGAAATCTGACCTTGTATATAATATGTTGTATAGCAGAGTAAATATTTTAAATCACATAGCTACATTTTTATGCTCCCCGAAAAATTTCGGGGGAGCATATAGTCGTCTCGTTGTCCGTACGTCCGTCCGTCCGTACGTACGTGTACGCACGTACGAATTCGTGTCCGGCCCATAACTTTGTTATTTGAAGTCGGATTTTAAAACTATATCACAGAAATGATCACCATATAGAGACGACGTGTCGCGCGCAACATTTTGGTCGCTACCTTGAATGTCAAGGTCACAGCATGACCTTGCAGCAAAATCGTGTCCGGTCCATAACTTCATTATTTGAAGTCGGATTTTAAAACTATTTCACACAAATGATCACCATATTGAGACAATGTGTTTCGCGCAACATTTGGGTTGCTACCTTGAAGGTCAAGGTCACAGTATGACCTTGCAGCAAAATCGTGTCCGGCCCATTACTTTGTTATTTTTGGTCGGATTCGTAAACTTTTTCACACAAATGATCACCATATTGAGACGATGTGTCGCGCGCATTATTTGAGTTGCTACCTTGAAGGTCAAGGTCACAGCATGACCTTGCAGCAAAAGTGTGTCAGATCCATTACTTTGCTATTTGAAGTCGGATTTTAAAAATATTTCACAGAAATGATCACCATATTGAGGCGATGTGTCGCGTGCAACATCTGGGTTGCTTCCTTGAAGTTCAAAGTCACAGCATGACCTTGCAGCAAAATCGTCTCCGGTCCATAACTTCGTTATTTGAAGTCGGATTTTAAAAATATTTCACAGAAATGATCACCATATTGAGACGATGTGTCGCGTGCAACATCTGGGTTGCTTCCTTGAAGTTCAAAGTCACAGCATGACCTTGCAGCAAAATCGTCTCCGGTCCATAACTTCGTTATTTGAAGTCGGATTTTAAAAATATTTCACAGAAATGATCACCATATTGAGACGATGTGTCGTGCGCAATATTTGGGTAGCTACCTTGAAAGTCAAGGTCACAGCATGACCTTGCAGCAAAATCGTGTCCGGCCCATTACATTGTTATTTTTGGTCGGATTCTTAACCTTTTTACAGAAATGATCACCATATTGAGACGAAGTGTCGCGGGCAACATTTTGGTCGCTACCTTGAAGGTCAAAGTCACAGCATGACCTTGCAGCAAAATCGTGTCTGGTCCATAACTTTGTTATTTGAAGTCGGATTTTAAAAATATTTCACAGAAATGATCACCATATTGAGACGCAGGCTCCGGAACATTTACGTCTCCACCTTGAAAGTCAAGGTCACAGCATGACCTTGCAGCGAAAAGCGTGTCGGGCCCATAACTTTGTTTCTGGAAGTCGGATTTAACAACTATTTCACAGAGATGATCACCATATTGAATCGACATGCCGCATGCAACATTTTGGTCCCTACCTTGAAGGTCAAGGTCATGTCATGACCTTGCAGCAAAGTCATGTCCGGCGCATTACTTCGTTATTTGAAGTCGGATTTTACAACTATTTCACAAAAATGATCACAATATTGAGACAATGTGTTGTGCACAATATTTGGGTTGTTTTTACACTTTGAACTTTGTCTGTGGCATAACTCTGACACAACAAGAGGTATACCTTCCTGTGTCCAAAACCAAATCGGGGAGCATCACCCGGTTCAACCGGCTCTTGTTTATGATATAAAATTAAATATAGGCCTAACTGATTTATTTTCATCAGCTGAAGAAAAAGGACTTCATCATTACAACTGAAGACTTTGAAGATATTCTGAGGCAAATCAAAGATGAAATGGCAAAAGTTTTGAAATCAACAGAAAATGCTGCAACTAAGTCTGAAGAAGAATATGAGGACCTGAAAAATAAATTAACTGAACTTAAGGCACAGATGTCGGAAGCTGAGAAAAAACATTTAGAACTGAAAAATAAATTTACTGTTCTTGAGACAGAGCAAAAAGAGGTAGAATGTGTTTCTATTGTTTGTTGCCAGTTAATATATCGGTTACCATACATGTTGATACAATTGTACATGCATAACTGTTTGTTTATGGTTAATATACCGTTTCATGTACAGTACAGATAACGAGGAATGTGCAAATTCCTGCGAGTAACGAGTAATTACAAAAAGCGTGACTACGAGTGAATTATAAATTTCTTGTACACAAAGAGTGACTCCGCGTCGATAACGAGTGACAATTAAGTCCGCAGGACTCCGTGAATCTCCGAGTCAAAAAGAGTGACTCCGAGTAAATAAGACTGATTTGGTATGCTTTATTTATTTATTAATATAATGCTCTACCTCTAAACTAAAATCCTTGAACGCATGTATCATTCAAAATAATGTTGTCGAAAATTCTTCGTTGATGTAAAGTATCACAAGTGAAAACGAAAGTAGACACACTAATGATTCATTAATATCAAAAGGGAAGAATAACCGATGATTTCCCGCAATTCCCGTGTCACACAGTGTCAAAAACCTATTTAATTTAGTATTCTAAAATAATAAAATATAGATGAGCTTCATTTTTGCATTGTTTATAAAAATTAATAATCATTATGTAAGCAAAAAAAAGAGAATTTAAGAACACGGCAAAACAACCACGTGCCTTAGTAGGTCGATTAATTCCATTGACATACTATCGTAAGGGATATTATACTTTGTACCAGAATTGAATTCAGAATTACATTTTCTTTAAGACAGTTTAAAAAGATCTTTTCAGTGAAATACATCTGCCTTGGAAAGGAAAGTAAATTTCTGAACAAGGTAATTTTATACTTTTAAGTCAGGCTTTTAGATAAATTTATACGAGTTACATAAATGATACCAAAATGCTTTCCATGTGAAGTACATGTACGTCTCCTTTTAATTGTTGGTTGATAATACGAGATATAAAGTATATAGTTCCATTGTAACAATGTACTAGCCAAATCAGATTTTTTTGATGTGCACTTGTTATCAATGATTAGAATATTATGAAGATCGAAACTCATTTTCGAAATTGAAAAAAAAAACACAAGCTGAAATAAATTACAATGTAATCGTTGGCACGTATCGGTATTTGATGCATTTAGAAACATTTACATCTAAGAAAATACGATGGTGTATAATAAATAAACATACAAAAAATGTAGAAATTTCATAAATTTTTAATTCATAAATTCATAGATTATTTTCGTCAAAAGGAAGTTGTAGGTTTTTTTCTTGAGGAACTTCGCAGTGATTTAGTAGGACAAGAAAGACATTTAAAGATTAATGAAGTTTATATAATCTGAATTATTCTTATTTCATAAAGAAGTATACAAAAAAGTTGGGCCGTTATTATATGGAATTTTTTTTAATCGTTTTTTGTTTTTGAATTTTTCAGGTTCCTGTGGTTATTGCTACTGACCTTATTAATTGGGATAAAAATAAACTTGATAACTGATGACACTGACACGGTAATTCTCGCTCGGAGTCTTACGCTGTTATTTTCGTCTCGGAGTCGCTCTCATCACACGTTTCTCACGCGGAGTCACTCGTTTTTATGGACAAATACTCTCGGGGAGTTGCGAGTGGATTCCTCGATCCTCCGAGGATTTTGCACATTCCTCGTTATCTGGACTGTATTACTGACTGCCTCCGTGGTCGAGGGGTAAAATTAGATGACTTCTAATCCAATTTCCTCTCTGGCGTGGGTTTGATCCCTGGGAGATACTTTGGTAGTTAAGCGCAGAGGAAGGTAGTCTAGTACTGGTGTAACTCTCCAGGAACGATGGTTAGGAAACTACCCGCCTATATGACTGAAATACTGTTGGGAAAAGGCGTAAAATGAAACAAACAAGCAAACAAAAACATGTATTACTATTTGTTTCCGGTTGATATACTTGGTCATGTATTACTGTTTGTTTCTGGTTGATATACTGGTACATAACTGTTTGTTTCCGGTTGATATACTGGTACATGTGTAACTACATAATGTATTTGTTTTAGTTATTAATATACCAGTACATGTTGTTATGTTTCTTTCCATCTGATATACTTGGTGAGGTGTTACTGTTTGTTTCAGTTGATATACCGGTACATGTATTACTGTTTGTTTCCAGTTGATATATTTGGTCATGTGTTACTGTTTGTTTCGATTGAAATACCGGGACATGTACATGTATTACTGTTTGTTTCCGGTTGATATACCAGTACATGTATTAATGTTTGTTTCTGGTTAATGAAAAGGTACATGTATTACTGGTTGTTTCTGGTTAATATACTGGTACATGTATTACTGTTTGTTTCCGGTTGATAAACTACTGTTTGTTTCTGGTTGATTTACTGGTTCATGTATTACTGTTTGTTTCTGATTGATGAAAAGGTACAGGTATTACTGTTTGTTTCTGGTTGTTATACCAGTACATGTTATAAATAATGGTTGTATGATAAACCAGTATTATTAGCTTGTCAAGGCACACAATAAGGTTAGCAAGCTTTGTAATTTCATGATGGCAGTTGTACCCATCTTATAAGCTTAACTATTATATTAAGCTTGTCACTATCTCGGTTAAGTTTTTAGTTTACCTGTCACAAAGTGACATGGTGAGCTTTTGTGATCGCTTTTCGTCCGGCATCCGTTGGGACGTAAACTTTTACTTTAAACAACATCTCATAATCCACTGAGCCCATTTCATCCAAACTTCACAGATATGTTCCTTTGGATGTCAACTTTAGAAATTGCTCAAATAATTTAATTCCAAGCAGAACTCTTGTTGCCATGGCAACAGAAAGAAAAAACTTATCTTGTTTTAGAAAACTGAAAGAGCTAGAGCTTAAATATTTGGTATGATACATCATCTAGTCAGTGTCTACCAAGTTTGTTCAAATAAATGCCCTTGGGTCAAAATTGGTCCTGCCCTGGGGCATTTATTTGAACAAACTTGTATAAGTACGAACTTTAAAAATCTTCTTTAAAAAAAAACAAAATAGCTAGAGCTTAGATATTAAACATGAAACCTCTTCTAGTGGGTGTTTATCAAGTTTGTTCAAATAAAATCCCTGGGTTAAAAATTGGCCCCGCCTTAGGGGGTCATTGATTTTCCTGAATCGTATCATGTTAAAACTTAAAATCTTCCTTTAAAAATCAAAATAGCTAGATCTTAGATATTAAGCATGAAACATCTTCTAGTGAGTGTCAACCAAGTTTGTTCAAATAAAAACCTTAGGTTAAATTTGCCCTGCCCCAGGACGTCATTGTTTTTCCCTTTATGTATATAGTAAAAACTAAAAAAAAATCTTCTCTCAAAAAAAACTAAAAGAGCTAGAGCTAAGATATTTAGCATGAAACATGTTCTAATGGGTTTCTACCAAGTTTGTTCAAATAAATGCCCTGGGGTCAAAATTGGCCTCCGCCCCAGGGTTCATTGATTTTCTTTAAATGTGTATAGTAAAAAACTTAAAAAATCTTCTTTTAAAAACCCAAAGAGCTAGAGTTTAGATACTAAGCATGAAATATCTCCTAGTGAGTGTCTACGAAGTTTGTTCAAATAAAAGCCCTGGGGTCAAAATCTTAGACCGCATCATAATAATTGACCTAGAGTCATACAATTGACAAAACAGTGGAGTATGGGCGAAACAGTGGAGTATGGGGACACCCGTGTCCTATATGGACGCATTTCTAGTTTTCTTTAATTTTCTGTTACATTTTAGAAAAAGGAAAACAGGTTGAGTTTTGCCCCTGCCTAGCAGTGGCTCTTGTTGCGTTATTGCACTTTGTTAATTTTCTTACTAAATAATCTTGTCCAGAGCATAACTGGGTCACTATAAGGTTGATTGACTCCACATTCGGTATGTAAGCTTTTTGAATTGACCTGAAGTGCATTGCATAAGAATCCATCACAAAGTTTGATCTGTCAGTGAAATTTTTTTCCATTGTATTTGTATTTTTGATATCTAGTCTATAAAGAATATAATGGGTAAAAAAATCAGGACTTTCAACACATCCAGAAAATCAACTTATAGAAGTTTGGGACGCTGTATATTATACATGTACAAACCGACTGAAAATACAAATATTACTTTATACAATAAACATTTTTGAAAATTTAATGAATAAAACACAATTATTTGTATTTTATTTTATGTTGTAGGAGATAAAAAGACTCAAAGTAGAAGGCTCTCCTCAACAAAAACAGTTAGAATTTGAAAAGGCTAAATCAGGTATGCTACAAATGTATATAGAATATGAAAAGGCTTAATCAGGTATGTTATGTAGAATGTGAAAAGGCTAAATCTTGTATGTTATATAGAATGTGTAAAGGCTAAATCTGGTATGTGATATAAATATGAAAAGGCTAAATCAGGTACTACTAAGTTATATAGAATATGAAAAGGCGAGATTAGGTATGTTATATAGAATATGAAAAGGCAAGATCAGGTATGTAACTGTATTCCTAGAAAAGATTCTGCGCGTTTTAAGTTAGCGCTTTTCGCAGTAGGCATAATTTAGCCGCGAATATGTCACTTATAACAAATCCGCGAACATTTTTAGCTTCAACCAAATAAAAACATAAAGGTGCAGAATATTTATTATAATCTGCTTTCACAATGACAGATAAACAGAGGTACGTACTATAGAACTGTGTCAAGAGTTATGTATGTATGTTATAGATACCTGTTTGGACCCTGAAGAAAATAAATTGTCAATTATAAGTAATTATCATGCTTATTGACGTTATTCGGTAGTAACGGCGTATACAAAAGCGTACATTGAATGGCTTGGATTTTATTTGCTTGGAGTAGGTGTAATCCTTTGTTAAAAGAAAAATAGCGATCAATTGTTACATTGATAAGCAGCTGTTACATTACTATAATGAAAGCGATATAATGTAAACTCCGATACTGAGCAAAAATTGAAGATAAAGTCAGTTATGATTCCAATGAGAACAAGAAAAGCATTGATGCAAAGCATCAAAGGGCGACACCAAAAGAATTTGATCCAGGTTTGCACCTAAATACTTAACAAAAGATGTGTACTTTATAACAGTGCCATTACATAAGACCTGGAGGCTAGGCCCAGTTTCCTTTAAAAATATACTATTAACTTAAAGTATATTTTAAAGGGGGTCATTATTTACATTTTATTTTGGTTTTTGACACTTTTAAGATACACACAGGTTTTTTTATCAATCTGGTCATATTTTTTCTTCCCAGGTCTGATACTCGTGCCTGTGCATATAATTAAAGCTTATTGCTTAGGGTCGCAGACATGTCATTGACATATATAAGACATAAAAGAGGACCTAAAATGAACATCAGTGGGACACTATAGATACTCAGAGCAGTAGCAGAATGAGGACCAGCCACATCCACCAGCTGCTGTCTATCAGAGATAAGACTTAAACCATGTAAGAATGTCATTACATATGGCGGATGCTTGAAGTTTCATGAAGAAGAAGAAAAAGAACTTCTTCATGTGCAGTATAGTGTGATCAACTGTATGAAATGCCCTTTGTAGATCTAAAAGTATCATGCAATACTGCCTTTGTCCATTTCAAATTTAATGCAATCTGTTACATGAATCAAACATTTGTTAGTTGAAAAACCACTTCTTAAACTGCCTGACCATGACTCGAACCCATGACTTTCAGAAGACCAACTGAGCTATCCGGCCGGCTACACATTTTCTCTTTAATAATGAAACAGTTCTAAACCACAACATATTTCCCCACTATATTGATTTGTGTCCTTGAATTTCTTATGTTTACAGAGCATAGTGAATTGAACTCATGCTTATATGCAGTCACAGGATGAGAAATACTTTGAGCTTGACCAGAACTCGAACCGTTGACCCACAGACTAATGTACCGCAGCTGTAGCGATTAAGCTATCTGGCCGCTTACACATTTTCTCCCCTAAATAGTGAACAGTTCTAAACCGTGACAGATACTTTTAGATTTTTAAATTAACAGATAATTAATTCTTACTTAATAAATAAGAAAAAAATGTACATACTCATAGTCTTATTTAAAATAACAATTTTTATATCATTGTATGATTATTTTTACTAGAAAGGGCTGAGACAGTTATTGGTTGTGCCATTATTTATAACAGGTCAATTTGAAAGTGATCATAACTGTGCTAATACATGTACAATATATATTTTTTGTACAGATAAAAAACTAACCTTTTTTCTATGATAAAAAATTTTATGAAGGCTGATTTGTATTTTGCATCAAGGGCACCGGGCGAAAACCATGGAAAATGCCAACAAACGAAACCACTTTGTGGTAGATTGTATTTTCATGTTTTCATCTGGCGCCGGGTTACTTTTTGTTACTATGTTGGGTTTTTCATGTGGCACAAATCACCCACTATAAATTTAGTGCACAAATTTATTCAAGGTCAAGTAACAATCCACTCTATGTAATGTA